GTTCAGTGCCGCCGCTGACGTAAGACACTGCTGACGTGTGTGTGTGTGTGTGTGTGTGTGTGTGTGTGTGTGTGTGTGTGTGTGTGTGTGTGTGTGTGTGTGTGTGATTTTGGTTGGGTGACAGTTGTAGGTTACAGTTTGACAAGAGTTTACAGTGTGACAAAAGCACAGTGTTGTGTTTTATTGCGAGTGTACACAAATATAAGTAAACACTTTGCAGGTTTAATGATCTGAACAAAATGACGGAGTATGTTTTTTATGTTTCCACTGTTCGATCGCGATCGCGCCTCTCTCTCACTCTCTCTCTCACACACACACACACAAACACACACTCCAGCATTGCAATCTTGACATCGCAGCCTTCATTATGTGGTCACACCAAACGCGAATAGAGCGTCAAATTTGCGTCTATCGCGTCTAGTTTGACGCTAGTCCAAAGCGAATAGGACGCGCGTATAAAGCCAAGTTAGCCAACGTTAGAAGTGAACGCGCGTTCAGAGCTAAGCCGATGAGTACAGATTATGTGTCCCTAAAGAACCCGCGTATCTAACAGTAGTTCCGCATTACATTAATTAATTTGCACGCGAGTTTTATTTATTTTTATACCGTGTATTCTCCGTGTAAATTCGTGCACCGAACCGTGACGCCCGTACCGTTTCGGTTCAATACGAATACATGTACCGTTCCACCCCTACTGTGTATGTATAAACTATCAGCCTTTAAGGTACTTCAGGTAATTTCTAAATTCTGGCCCTTCATTGCAGTTTGAACAAGACATGGAGGAGAGCCCTAGGACATTACAAAAGCCCACAAACACACAAAAGTTAAAGTATTCATCATTCTTTCTCTGAATTATGGGTAAATGTGGCTGCCAAATAGCCTTGGGGGGGATTTGGGGGTTTTCCCCCAACAAAAAATGTTGTTCAGGGTCTGATTACTGTTTAATCACTGTTTGACACAGATAAATGCAAGCACATTCAATAATCTATGACCTAATGAATGAAGATCCAGTCAGGAAAGATAAGGATCAGACATTTATTTAAAAGTGCTTTGTTCAGCTACTACTTTCAGTGCTGTGAAGACCAATATAATCAACAATGGGATTAATGCCAACCTGACAATATACAAACAGAATAGCATGAAAACAGTCATGCTAACATGGGATGTCAAATAATAGAGAAACGGCTTCGGCTTTGGACTTCCCTATAAATACCCACAGTATTTCGGCCTTGAGTGTAAAAGCTGCCGAAGGCATTGCTTGATGAAGTGGACGGCCTTGTTGAAGGCTGAGAGGTCGAACAGGAGAAGATGAGAAGATACATATGAGCAAACTACTTGGCTGCGACGACATACTTCTTGTGCTTCTCTGCTTTAATGTGTGAATCGAGTGCTATGTGGCCCATTGTCCCCAGCTGTATCGTCTTGTTACATAAAGCACACCTCGCTTCATGATTACTGGCTGTTTTCTTCAACCACCCCCGATACTTTTCGCCCTCCAACCAATTGTCATTAAACAAATATTTGCCCATGCTTGCGATTTCGCTTCAACTAACATGCTGTGGTGGCGAACCATCAACGCAACGCATTCATCAATCACCTACTTGTCAGTCACCTATGGAAGAATGCAGGTTGCACCCACATAGATCAAAGTGCTGCCCCCCAACCGCTGGTCAAATTGTGGTTGAAAAAAAAAACCTGGATGACTAGTCGAACATGAAATTTAAGAAATCCTTATCGGAAATTCCAGATTTCAAGACATTTTCAGACCTTAAAAATCTAAAATTTTATTTAAGACGTTTCAAGACTTTTTAAGGACCCGTGGGGACCCTAATATATATATATATATATATACACTCACCTAAAGGATTATTAGGAACACCTGTTCAATTTCTCATTAATGCAATTATCTAATCAACCAATCACATGGCAGTTGCTTCAATGCATTTAGGGGTGTGGTCCTGGTCAAGACAATCTCCTGAACTCCAAACTGAATGTCAGAATGGGAAAGAAAGGCGATTTAAGCAATTTTGAGCGTGGCATGGTTGTTGGTGCCAGACTGAGTATTTCACAATCTGCTCAGTTACTGGGATTTTCATGCACAACCATTTCTAGGGTTTACAAAGAATGGTGTGAAAAGGGAAAAACATCCAGTATGCGGCAGTCCTGTGGGCGAAAATGCCTTGTTGATGCTAGAGGTCAGAGGAGAATGGGCCGACTGATTCAAGCTGATAGAAGAGCAACTTTGACTGAAATAACCACTCGTTACAACCGAGGTATGCAGCAAAGCATTTGTGAAGCCACAACACGCACAACCTTGAGGCGGATGGGCTACAACAGCAGAAGACCCCACCGGGTACCACTCATCTCCACTACAAATAGGAAAAAGAGGCTACAATTTGCAAGAGCTCACCAAAATTGGACAGTTGAAGACTGGAAAAATGTTGCCTGGTCTGATGAGTCTCGATTTCTGTTGAGACATTCAGATTGTAGAGTCAGAATTTGGCGTAAACAGAATGAGAACATGGATCCATCATGCCTTGTTACCACTGTGCAGGCTGGTGGTGGTGGTGTAATGGTGCGGGGGATGTTTTCTTGGCACACTTTAGGCCCCTTAGTGCCAATTGGGCATCGTTTAAATGCCACGGCCGACCTGAGCATTGTTTCTGACCATGTCCATCCCTTTATGGCCACCATGTACCCATCCTCTGATGGCTACTTCCAGCAGGATAATGCACCATGTCACAAAGCTCCAATCATTTCAAATTGGTTTCTTGAACATGACAATGAGTTCACTGTACTAAAATGGCCCCCACAGTCACCAGATCTCAACCCAATAGAGCATCTTTGGGATGTGGTGGAACGGGAGCTTCGTGCCCTGGATGTGCGTCCCACAAATCTCCATCAACTGCAAGATGCGATCCTATCAATATGGGCCAACATTTCTAAAGAATGCTTTCAGCACCTTGTTGAATCAATGCCACGTAGAATTAAGGCAGTTCTGAAGGCGAAAGGGGGTCAAACACACTATTAGTATGGTGTTCCTAATAATCCTTTAGGTGAGTGTATAAATATATAGCTTCTTTTAGAACTATTTAAGTATTTTGGGGTTGGGAAAGACATTCTGACTTGCCAGATTTTCTCTGAAACATCAGTTGAACGAAATGTCTACACATCATAATTCAGCAAGTATCCATTCACTTCTTCACACTGAGGAGATTGGTGCAGTTCAGTTTAGAAAAGGCCTGTTGTGAGAATGATAGCCTGTTCTGTTCATTTGTGTAATGTTGGTGGAAGTGATGCAGAGATATTTCTATACCTTGGCCTCTCATTTACTTTTTTAAAAGCAAACAACTGGTAATTCTCTCGAGAGATATAAAGGACATTTTTAGCTGCTCACAGACCCAGTTTCCACCAGTCATTTGTAAAGGTATAGTTAATGCAAAACAAAAAGTCCTCCAAGAGAGAGGAGAAATAGATACTAGTGTAAAAACACACATATATTATCATTAGATAAATGTTAGTCACAGGAAAATGTTTGAAAATGGTCAATCTCATAACTTTCTGACACAATTATCCATGTGCCAGCGGCATGGCATTCACGGGAGTGTGCGCTGTAGGGCTTGCACGACTTTTAATAGTCAACTAGCCTTCCATTAAATTAATCGTTCATTATTATAGAACAATTGCAACTGAAGTCATGTTATCACGACTTGCTGACAAAGACTAGTATAAGAAAGCAAAATTCTACAGTTTTTGATAAGTTTTTCAACTACTTGCACTAATGCTGCCTGAATCATAATCATACACTGTTGGTTCGTTGGCCAGAGGAGAACTGAGCGACTGAGTCTGGGTTCTCCAGAGGTTTATTTCTCCACACTGATGGAGTTTTTGTTCTTGTCACTGTCGCCTTTTTCACCTTTGTTGGCATTGGGGCGGCAGTGGCTCATGTAGGTTGTCTACATGGTTCAATCCCCGGTTCCACCTGACCAAGTGTCGAGGTGTCCATGAGCAAGACACCTAACCCTAGCTGTGTGTGTGTGTGTGTGTGTGTGAGACACCTAACCCCAGCTGCTCCCGGCAAGCTGGATGGCCTTGCATGGCTGACACCGCCGTCGGTGTGTGAATGAGTGTGTGAATGGGTGAATGTGAGGCAAAATGTAAAGTGCTTTGGTGGCCATTGGGTCTGTGAAAGCGCTATATAAATGCAGTCCATTTACCATTGGCTTTTGGCTTGCTTAGTTGGGGACATCATTAAATGTAATATTCAACAATATTATTGATTTTCCTGCATTGACACCATTATATATATTTATTTATTTTAACAAAAAAGAAGAGCATGTTACAGATAGTACAGTATTTAAGAAAATACAACAAAAGTAACAGAGTTGCACACTAGGGGGATTAATGTAGATCTACATAAAGACATTGAAACATTTACACATTTTCTGAGTTTTAACTGCTTTTTGCTTCATAGAAAATCGAATTGAGTCAAAATAAGGCTCCATTTCTTTCTTAAATTATATAAAACGTTTTTTTTAACAGGAAAATGTACTTTTTTGAACATGGAATTTTGCCATTAAAAGAATACAATGTATTAAACAAACCTGACTTGCTTGTCTCTATAATTCTCCAAAATACCAAATAATAGATGTTTCCAAAACAACACAAATTAGCATTGACAGCATTATATGAGAACTGAACTGAGCTGGACGATGACATCATGGTTTTCTCCAGAGCGGCTATATATATAAATTAACTAAATTAATAACTTTTTTACAACACAAATGAACCATCACTGAACTTACTTAAGCTGGACTGTGACGCTATTTTCTTCTAGAAACAAACTTTGTTGCATTATTTTCCTGTTATCTCTGTAAAGCTGCTTTGAAACACTCTGTATTGTAAAAAGAGCTGTATAAATACAGGTGACTTGACTTGACCTGGTCTCCTTGGGAAAAGGTGGAGCGTGGAGCCCTGCTAATGAGTGTATTGTGTGCTAGATGTTGGTGACGACTCCAGAGAAGTGGGATGTGGTGACGAGGAAGAGTGTGGGAGACGTGGCTCTGTCTCAGATCGTGCGACTGCTCATCCTGGACGAAGTTCATCTTCTTCACGAGGACAGAGGGCCCGTCCTGGAGAGCCTGGTGGCCCGCACACTGCGGCAGGTAACACACATCTATATATATATAGCACTCCACGTGGGATGATTTGAGTGTATTTTGAATATTTGCATCTATTCATTTTGTTGATATGATACACTACATTCTTAGAAGATTAAAAGCTTCTTTTAGATACTTAATATATTTAAAAAAACAGTTATTTAAAATTATATTAATATTTAACAATATTACAGATTTGACTGTATTTCGATCAAATAAATGCAGCCTTGGTGAGCAGAAGAGACTTCTTTCAAAAACACTTAACAACTCTTACTGACCCCAGACTTTTGAATGGTAGTGTACAAGTAAATTATTCAAATATTTGTATCTATTCATTTTGTTGATATGATACACTATATTCTTAGATGAAAATGTTCAGTATAGAACATTAAAGGCTTCTTTTATATACTTAATATATATAAGAATATATATATACAGTATATTCCCATCATTGGATAATTTTATGGATTTATGTTTAATTAGGGCCCTGAGCACTGATGGTTTGAGGACCCTATTGGAAAGTATTTAAGGTTGTTATAATAAACCTTTCTTCCAAATAAATAAATAAATCACAGTTTCCACAAAAATATGAAGCAGCACGACTGTTTCCAACACTGATAATAATAATCATAAATGTTTCTTGAGCATCAGATCATCATATTAGAGTGATTTCTGAAGGATCATGTGACACTGAAGACTGGAGTAATGATGCTGGAAATACAGCTTTGATCACAGAAATAAATTACATTTAAAATATTTCCAAATATATAAGTTATTTAAAATGACATTAATATTTAACATTATTACAGATTTTACTGTATTTCGATCAAATAAATGCAGCCTTGGTGAGCAGAAGAGACTTCTTTCAAAATCATTAAAAAACTTTTACTGTCCCAAAACTGTATATTCATAATAGCTAAAAAATAGCTAGGAAAAATGAATCCATTTAATTTTCCCACTTTAAAGGCTGTGCAAGTCACTCAAGACAATGACATATGGACACTCACATGAAGAATATTTGAACCATATTTTCCAAGTGAAAAATGAATACTGATTCAGTGCAAACAAGAGTTTGACTGAGAGCCAGGCCTGCAAAAGAATAAAATTGAACAGATTTTTATATTTACATCTTTGTATTAATATTCAATTTTAGGTGGATTATTATAGTAATACAAAGTTGCTCTTTGTTTATTGTCAATATTGTAAATGTTAAATGTAAAGGTCTAAGGTGAATGAAATGGGAAAGTTCCACGTGCTTCCTCTTTTAATATCTCAACATTGGTTATTATTATAGCAGCATGAAGTTACGTTTGGACTTTAATAGCTCCAGAAGTGTGTGTTGTTGTGTGTGCACAAGGAGCAACTAAAAAAATTTGGTTTGCATAAGGTCACATTATGTCCAATCAAGTTTGACACCCCTACAATAAAAGCCAAAAAGCAACGTGAACATTTTTTCTTCTGGATAGTAAAAAAAATAGTAGCATTGTTTTTTCCACTAGTGGTTTACAATTAATTACCTGATATAATCTCAAATAATATCCCAGTAGTTTGTTGGTTCACCCATTCCTAGGTAATTTCCTCCTCCAGTGGATGTGTGTGTGTGTGTGTGTGATTGATAGGACCCCTCTGATGATGATTGACAGCCGCCCTTACTAGAATCACTCTGGCCATTTGGGATATTAGTGTGATTATGCAAATCCTGACAGGCGGGGAGACGACGGCCCACTTTTCGCGGCGTCCCATATCCATGTTCATTCTGACGAGTCGCAGTCAGGTGTCAATCACACGCAGGAATTTACAGAAATAAGCTCAAGCAAAGCTCACGTCTACTCGGTGACACCCTACACAGCTAAACTACCACGGTGATATTGCCCTTCAAGATACTTTCACAGGGCAAAGTGTCCGAAAATGCAGCCTTTTCTTTTACAACGCACATTTCTTCGTTAGCCGAGTTTTCCTTTGAGGCCAGGAGCTGAGAGAAGCTTTCAGTAGCAGTGAGTGGTGAGTAAGTGAAAGGAAATGACATCAAATGCTGTTTACTGTGTCCACGCTCGAGTCGTTTGAAGTGCTAACTGATCCCAGTTCAGCGAGGCTATGTGTGCTCTTCTCAAAGCCAAACTGAGCTTATTATCCTTCGAGATCACACCCTGCACTAGATTTTCAATGTCACATTTAGTTTCTTTGGCTATGAGGAATGAAATCTTTGCACTTAATTTCAATTTTAAAAGCTAAAAGATAACAAGCTATTACTTTGCCGAATGTCATACTGACACATCCGGTGCAGTTAGCGGTAGAGATTAGCATATTCAGTGCCCACGGTTTTGCTGCATTAAAGATGTTCTACTTTCAGGTGCTTCTGTACAAATGAACTAAAATGGAGTAACTTTTTTTAGTTTCTTGCTCACAAACTAGCTGTCACTTACAACCCCTAATTTGGAAGTGTTTGTTAATACACACAAGTTTCTATTGATAACACTCTGAAAAGGTGTAAGATTGTGATCTGTCCACTAGGGCTGCAACTAACGCTTATTTTGATAATCGACCGATTGTTTCTTTGATTAATCGATTAATCTGATAAAAAGCCCAATTTTATATTTTATTTTATTTGACAAAACACACTATCCCACATCTATGGAGCTAAAAGAGTCTCAATAAAGATAAATGCACACACTACATTCACATATGCACACACAGGATTCATACATGCACACACAGGATACACAAATGCGCACAAAATTCACAAATGCACACACACAATGTTTTTGTATTTGTAAATTTTGTTTGCATTTCTGAATTGTGTGTGTATTTATGAATTTTGTGTGCATTTATGAATCTTGTGCTTTTTAAATTTTGTCTGTGCATTTGTGTATCCTGTGTGTGTATTTATGAATCCTGTGTGTGCATATGTGAATGTAGTGTGTGCATTTATCTTTATTGAGACTCTTTTAGCTCCATACACATCCTGCACAACCCTGTCCTGAAATACAAAGTATGAAAACATATAAAGGGCATATATCTATGCTATATGCAAAAGAGCTATAAAGCAAAAGGACTATTTAAATCACTACATTAAAAAGAAAATGATAAACTCTGAAAAATGTTCTGCAGGAACACACACATGTACTCACCCGTTACTGTCATTTCTTTATCCTGTAAATGTAAGAAACTTCGCATTTCCCTTTACAGTTTCCACTCTAATAAAATACTTGACATACATGTTGACTTTTAAACCTAAATTTAACAGATATTTCAGCAAAATTGTAATGTTTGCATTGAATATTAATTGTCTCCCTCACTGATGTGTCCCGTCTGTTTTGACGCCGGCGCTCATTCAGTAAAGTCTGAAGTTTAACGCTAACTATCAGGATGGAAAATTGAAATACTGGTGTGAATTTGAAACACTTGCAGATAAGGATATAATCGTAAAGTGAATGTTTTGCGCTGAGGAAACATATCACACATTAAACGGCACACGCATCTGTCAAAGGGCAAGCCATGTTAAACATTACGCTGATGTAATTTTACATGAACGCAATACGTCAAAAAAGTGTCACAATGAAAGATGACATTAATCGACTCACCCTTCAACCATCGAACATTAAAAGGAAATTTAAAAGTGTAAAAGCATCAACAAGGCACTTTCAACAGACCGAATAGCCCCAAACGCGCGAGTCTTGGGTTAAATATCACAAGCCTTAATCAAAAATGTTCATTAACCCTCTGGGGTCGGCGGTCTCGCCGGCGATACCAGCTCACTTTTTTCCTTATCAGTGCAAAAGAGACTCAAATTACTCTGTTAATTTTGATCTTACATATAAGTGTTGTACATCATTCGATCCTGTTAAGTTTGTATTTTTTTTGTGGAACCTCATAATAAAAACAAAGTGTTGTGCTTTTCGCCTAATAAAGAAAAATAAACATGATGCGCGTTCTGCGTTCTCTCTGTCAGTGAAGTCCATTCTGAAACGCGTCCGAAAAATCATCTGTAACTCTGCAAATACTCAGTCAAACAGGTATACAGGCACACAGGCATGAAGCCTGAATTATCTTCTTTTAAATGAAGTAATTTATATTTAAAAAAAAAATTCTCATTTTATGTAATCTGTACGAAAAGAGAGAGATGATAGTCGTTCTCGTCTCAGCTCATTAAAGTTAATTTGACCACGCCCACGGAGCGCGCGCTCTATTCAAACACAAATGATCCACGCCCACATCAGCTGGATAACCCACCGAAAGAGACTCAGATTTACGACGCTGTGAGGAATAATAGTACTATCTTAATAATAATCCTGGAAAAAATTACCTCAGAAGTACAGGTTTCATTTGGAGGAGCAACGGATCCAGCAGAGGAATAGGTACATTCTTTATTTTCAAGTGCTTTGTGCTAATCGCGATATGGAATAGTGTCTGTAAACAAAAAGACTGTTTGAATCGCGTTTTTGTGTGTGAATGAATGAACAGCTTTTACCTAAGTATATTCCAATACTGAGATGAGTAAAAATCGACTGAAATATGTTGAAATAAAATATTTTTGTATAAGCAACGTATTAAACTGCAAATTAACATTTATATGTCCTAATCATAAAAACGATATGTTACATATGAAAGACAAGATGTCTTTTTTACTGTAAAATACTGCCACATCAAATAAGCTGGTTTGCTAAGATGTTATTATAGTGTTTGTTCGATTGTAGGCTATATTCAAACTAATTAATCCGCAACTGTGAAATATGTATGATAAAATGTATACTTTAGTATATAATACAAAGAAAGATTACATTTGAAATATAGTTAAAATTTTAATTGTTGTTGTAATTGTAAACTTTTTATTAAAATAGCAAAAATATAGGTAGGCTACATATAAATAAATCTTAGGTAAATCTTAAAAGCTCAATATAAGCCTCCTCTTTAAATTATTTGTATTGTGTTTTATTAGTGACACATTTGGGATATATTCCCAAACTTTCTGTAAAAACTGTATGATAATTAACTGCACAATTACTAGA